TTTATAATTATGTTAGTTATATTGTCTATATTTACAGATACATAGGTCAGATGAATAAGTAATCTTCAAACACTTCATAGAACCAGAGAATATGGCATTTAAATGTTTTGATAACTTAGAATTCTGTTGACATGGGACAGGATTGTTCCTGGCAGCACCAATCTGATCCAGAGAGAATGTTGGGCTTCTAAGACACTCCATTTGGAAGTTTGTCTTCTTCTTGGTGCATAATTGCCTGGGCAAAGGACTGCCCTTACCTCGACTGCTGACAGTACAAATGCTGTCCATTCTAGACAAGTGCTGTCCTTTCTGGATGAGTGGGACACAAGGAAAAGCGATTACTGAACTCTGCCAAGACAGGGTAAGATAGTCTTTCAAAATTCCTGCTTCTGAAAATGATCTGTCAGATATTCTAGGCCTGTAGCCAAATTGGATGCCCCAACGATGCTGAGAAACTTTAGGCGACTGTCCAGGCTGCCAGCTATTTCTTTTGAAAATTGTTTGTGCCCATTTCCCATTTTCTCAGATATTATTAAAATTCCTTCTCAGGTCTTTGATGGGGTTGAAGACTAACAGTTACAGTTACAATCTTCTTGTATCTTAGCTAGAACATATAAAGTATTAGATTCAGGTTCTTCAGGATAGGACAGCTTTTGGAATAATCTCTGTAACATGCCATTTACCTATGTTCTGAACATCCCTGGATTTTAGTATGAGTCTCTTGTTTGATGTTGTTTTTGTTGGTTGTAGTTCCATTTTGCTTAGGTCATTACCCTTTATTTCTCCTTGACAATACTTAATAATCATTACTATTATATATAGTGTTGTGTCAGGTGTCTTATTTAGACAAAAGGGGGGAGATGTAGTGGGTAGCTGTTCTAGCTATGACCTAGAAGCACCGCCCCTATTGAGAAGCAGTTAACTGTTACACCTGCCTATGACCTTGAAGTACATGCCTCCGGGGCATAGCCCCTGGGAACCCTTAAATATGTGGCTCTCTCTTCATTCAGCATGGGACTTGGATGCTGGGATGATCTCAGGTGGAAGAACAGCATGGGAACATGCCTCACCCTTCCATGATCCTGCAATAATTCCTCTATTCTGTATCATGAGTTTCTTTCTCTAATGAACTCCTTTGCCCTTTAAGCAGACTCCAAGGATTGCTAGTGACATTTCTCCCATTACTGCTCTGTCACTGAATCTTAAATTTTGTCCTCAGCTAGATAATGTATTTTCATCCTGTTATTTTCCTTTCTATTACTGTGCTAAAACCAACTTGGGAAGAAAGGGGTTAATTTAGTTTACATTTCCCCCATCATCAAGGGGAGTCAAGGCAGGGACTGAAGCAAAGAGCACGGAGAAAGGCTGCTTACTGACTTGCCCTCCACAGCTTGCTCAGCCTTCACTTTGACCCAACCCAAAACCACCTGTGCTGTGGACTCAGCCCTCCCACATAAATTGTTAAAAAAAAAAAAAAACTTGCCTATAGGCCAATCTGGTGGAGACATTTTTTCAGCAGAGCTTCCCTCTTCCTAGCTTGACCCTAGCTTGTGTCAAAAGTTGGCATGAGGCTAACCCAGCACACATGGTAAAGCCTGTATGTATTATGGAATTTAGGTGAACTTGACTTCGATTGCTCTTGCTGTTTTCTTATTCGATGTTGCAACCTATTCAGGCCAGGGTAGTATCTTTAAGATCTCACCGTTTGTAGTCAAGGGTCCCATCAGGCTCCAGATACCTAAGAGAGGCCAGTCTCTGGCAGCCACCAGTCAAGACAAGCAAAAGTGCAGGAAACTATCCTTTTAACAGCTGTTCATAAGCCAGCTAACAAGAAACACCCACAATGACAAGGAGGTTTAATGCCATGTATTTCTTACCAATTTGGATGGGAAATTCTGGCTAGATGTTCACGGGTAACAAACCTGTAGGAAGGCAGTCTGCCTGGAGGTCAGAGGTTGATTCCAGGTGTCTTCCTCAGTTTCCCTACTCTGAGTTTTTGAGACAAGCCTTCTCACTACACTTGAACTCACCCATCAGCAGTTCCCAGCCACCCACCCTGTCCCTACCTTCCAACATTGGGTCCTGGACACATGCTCTGCCACACCAGATGTTTGCGTGGATACTAGGGCTGCAAACCTGGATTACGCCTGCGCTGCAGGCTCTTTACAAACTGAGTCATCTCCTCTAACCCCAAACTCTCTTTTAAGGGATGTGTTTGAGAGACACAATTGTTCTTGGAAATTACTTGTTAAGAGACAGACAGAACTAGAGGGATGCCCCAGGAACTATGATGTTATACTTTAGGGTGCAAACTGGGTATTTCCATTACCTCCAAGAACCTGTGTTCAATACCATAATCACGCTTTTGTCTGCGGGCATCACCTAAATTTTCTCAGGTGACGTCTATTCCTGTATCCAGGCCCCTTCCTTTGGCCATTGTTTCAAGATAACAGGCACAAGTTTATAAAGTAGTAGGCCAGGGGTATGTAAAATTATCTAAAATTTTCTTCAGTTGCAACCAAAAACCAGTGGAAATACATGAAGTGAGAGTAGCAATCCTCTCGGCCATCTGTCTGAAAGGCACTCACACCCTTAGAGCAAATTCAAAGAAGGAAAAAAAACACTATCAAGTTTTGGGATCATGCCCAGGATTCTTTTCTTCTAAATATAGAAACAAATATTTAAGTCCCTGGTGCATTTGCACTGGCTATCTGGATTGCTCCCATGATTCTTCCTTCCCACAAGTAGATTGCTTCTTCTGCCTGGGCAAAGAGCTCTCTTCACCTATGCTGAGGCAATCAATTCGGTTCCATTCTATTATGCAGGGATCCGGGAAAAGATGCAGCATTCAGAACAGAGACAGCACAGTGCTTAAAGCTTTAGAATGTTTTCCAGATCCCAATGGCCTATCCATGACATCAAATCAGAGAGTTTCTATAGCTGTCCTTCACCTTGAATGCCAAACAGAGAAAGCAGTTGGTTTATTTAAGTCCCTTAATTATTTACTATCAACGCAGAAAATGTCCTTGGGGAGTGTGACATGAAAAGGAAAGGTAGCCGGGCGGTGGTGGCACACGCCTTTAATCCCAGCACTTGGGAGGCAGAGCCAGGTGGACCTCTGTGAGTTCAAGGCCAGCCTGGTCTACAGATTGAGATCCAGGAAAGGCTCCAAATCTACACAGAGAAACCCTGTTTCAAAAAACCAAAAAAAAAAAAAAAAAAAAGAGAAAGAAAGAAAAGAATAAAAGAAAGAAAGAAAAAGTGTGGTGGTATTGTGTTCCCCAAAATATTGTGTACCCTAATAAACTTATCTGGATTCAGAGAACAGATAGGCAGTGGTAGCACACACCTTTAATCCTAGCATTCCAGAGGCAGAAATCTATCTGTTAAAAGATACAGCCAGGCATGGTGACTCATGCCTTTAATCCCAGAAAGCGAGTCTTTAATCCCAGGGAGTGATGGTAGAAAGCAGAAAGGTATATAAGGCGAGAGGACCAGAAACTAGAAGCATTTGGCTGGTTAAGCTTTTAGCTGGTTAAGCTTCAGGCTTTCGAGCAGCAGTTCAGCTGAGAACCATTGGGATGAGGACACAGAAGCTTCCAGTCCGAGGAAACAAGACCAGCTGAGAAGTTGGCCAGGTGAGGCTAGCTGTGGCTTGTTCTGTCTCTCTGATCTTCCAGTTCACCCCAATACCTGGCTCAGGTTTGTTTTTATTAATAAGAACTTTTAAGATTCATGTTACAAAGAAAGAAAAAGAAAAAGAAAAAAGAAAGAAAAGGAAGGTTAGCCTAGGCAGGTCTTATAAAAACAGGGCAATAAGGACAACAGTCCATTGCCAGGATACAGTTTCCCTAGTCACAATGACCACAAGTAGTAAGTGTCTTGCCCCAGGTGTCTGTGGTCATGTTATATTGGCAGTTGAGCCACAGCCAACTCTAGGCTGACCATCTGGCATGTACATCTGGCTAGTGACCAGCAGACACGGCCCTGAAGCACCCTGGAGTAAGTCTTCCCAGAAGGCGGCCAAGTGAGGGTGACATCATTTCAGTTTGATAAGTAGTTGTCATGTATTTTATATACCAATTGATGAAATGGGGACTATGAGGCAACAGATTAAACCTCTGTATTTTCCTTCCTTATGAGCTATCAAAATACTATGACAAGAATTGGCCCAAGTGGCTCTGTGCATTAGTAATGATGCTGCTTTATCTTCATTTGGTGCAATGATTCTGTGATGCTTGCATTTACATAGCACCATGTACAAGCATTTCTAAGCATCACATTCATGAGGCAATGGTCAAAGTAGCTTGCAGGTAAGGGAATGGTTGAAGATAGTCACTGCTGTGTGGAACACATGGAACACTAGGAAAGACTTACCCCAAGATGAAGAAATAGCAGTGGAGATATACTCACTGTCTCTTGTCTGAACACTTCCCCAGATCCCTGTCATTTGTATGGGTCAGTTATACTTGAGTTACTAAAATAACTGTATACTTAAGAAAGCTGTCTAACTGGATGAGTGCAGGAAAATGCTATTTGTTTGCAAACACCTTACCCTGGTGATTTGTGAACCACACACATCCATGGCCTACAGGGGACTTGGCTGTCATATGTTTGCAATGCCAATAACAAACACTAGAGAGAAAATGCATCTCTCTGGTGTGCCCCTCCAGCCTATTGGTAAATCCACCACCAAGAAATGATGGGCACACCTGTTGAGTTAGTTGGGGAGCAGGCAACCATCCTTGATGTCTAAAATCCATAGAATGTCATATCTTATTGTTAATGACTTCTGCTATGTGACATTTGGGGTCAGTTTTAGCAAAGAAAATGTGCCTTGAGATTGTGCATCTTCCAACCCATTAAGAGAGTACTGCCTTGGAAACACTGAGAAGAAAACTAGAACTACCAACCTTTAAAACGTGACCTCTGGGATTCAGAGACATTCTGCAGCTGCCACATCAGGATCCCACCGCCCCTGCTTCACAAAGGGTTCCATATTTCACCAGTAATAAAACTTTATTAGTAACATGTCAAATACGTTGTAAAATACAGTTACCCTTCTCCTTCCTCTGAGCTTAAAAAAGCAATCCAATCAAAACTTTAAACCATGACCCAAATATTTTTAAATGCGAAAAAGACATATTTTAGGTTATGTAACAGACACACATTTTCCCCCAAATAAATGTTGTAGAAGGCCATCTGCTCCGAATCTGGGTGTGTTCCCATAGAGCCACGCTTCTGCTGCTCTCCCATCATTAATGGGTTATTATGACACTGTATTTCACAATAGTGATACCAAAACGCATGACCAGAAGAGAGCTTGATGAAAATACATGGCATGCTCAAACCAGACAACTTACGCAATTCCTCATTTACTGATCCTCCATCCCTTTACTGTGACCTCCCAACCTGAGGAAAAAGGGGGGATCCCTGGCAGGGGCAGGACTTTGTACAGAGGAGAGGTCAAATAGAGTTCAAGACAAAAGGGTGAAGGAAGCAACCCAAGGTCATTTTCTAGCCAACCTCTCCATCCCAGCACCCCCAGATTCCTGGGTTTATAGGCCCTTTTGTACTATAGATATAGATTTGACCACAGAGATTGTCTAATTCTTGTTAGCTCTGGAATAGTTTATACTTACTCCTGTGTTATCAAGTGGAGCACCCCGATTCCAGGGTGACTGAGGGAAGAGATCCCCCAGGCTGATAAGGATGAGACAGAACTCTACCTTTGTTCCCCTTACACGCTTGGTTCTTCTAACTCGGGAAATCAATTTCCATGCATGTTATGCTGGTTTATATTTGCGACTATTTTGAACAAACGCTTTTATGACTCTATGATGTTTATTTTTGCTATCTCCTCTCTCTCTTTTTCCCCCTTGAGACAGAATCATCACATGTAGCCTAGGCTGATTTCAAACTCACTGTATAGCTGAGGAGGACCTTGCCCTCCTGTCCCTCTTGCCTCTAATGGAATTGCTGTAACACTACACCTACTTTTATTTAGTATTTCTTAAAAGAAAAAAACTTGCTATGAAAAACAGGCATGGACATTCACATATAGGCTTGCATTTGTGGTTTTCATCCTAAAATTACAAATAACCATTTTACTCAAAAATGCACTCACTAAAAATATTGAAAATTGAAGACTTAAGGTCCCATTAAAGACCTACAAAGAAGAATATGCACTATTAACATGACCACTGGGGAACAGAATGTCCAAAGGGACTTTAGAAGTGCCAATGCAGAGGAGTGTTCCTAACTCAGTCAACTATATAACATAAGCCTTGAGGAAAAACGGGATTATCTTCATGTGGAAATTTTGCCCCAAAATTTCAACCAGGAATGTAACAACTTTTAGACATAATTCACTATAAAAATAAAAAATGGCACTTGTCATGTTGCTAATATATAGTAATAAAGTTTAAGAATAAGAATATTTAAGTTAAATCAACATACATTACATAAAGTACTTGAATTAATTATATACAATCTTTGTTTCTAATACAGGAATTTTCTTAGCAAAACATGATTGTTACACTGAGTTCTAGAAACAAGAATACTACCTTAACTCACAAGTATTCAGTGACCAAGTATGGTCATTTAAAAGAAAAATGTGTCCAACGAATAACATTACTGTGAATGGATTCCAGTTTGATAAACTCTGGAGCCCTTTCCCAAAGGAATTCAGCCAGAATTTTAAGCTGCTATCCTCTTACGAGTATCTCTGGGCAGATCAGTGTCTGTGTGAGAGAGGATGGACAGAAGAAAACTGGGGACCAGGGACACAGCTGCGATTCAGAGAGGCAGCTCATGGGACAGACAGAAGATGGCTTCAGCAGCAGGTGTTGAGAAGTCCCCATTTCCATTTATAACAAATGACAAATGAACAAAGCCTGTCTCTCTGGCTTTAACTCATGCCAGACCCAGCCTTTAGGCTATAATCTACCCATTAGGGTTGTCCTTTATGGCTTTCCTCGACATTAATATTAACCTGATTTGCCCCATAAAAGAAACTAGAGAGATGGAGGGATTGTTATGTACTTGAATTTGTCTTCCCAGCATCTCCTGAAGAGACATCCCAGAGATGAGTGCAGACCAGCCTCATTTCCCCAGGCAACGGAGGCATCCTATGCTTCCAAGCACAAAATACCCCTGTGGAGCACAGAGTGTGCATCCCTTTGATGTCTGCTCTGCATTACTTAAACTCTCCTCTTCCCAGTGCATCTTTTCACCTGCAAACACTTTTGGAGAAAGATGTTGGATAACCATTATCTCAGTTCTCTTCAGGGAAACTGAGCAAAGTGACTGTGTATCACTCAGGTCACACCCCCAGCTCTGGCACCATGTTCAACCCGAAGAGCGGTTCTGCACTTCCGCACAAGTCTCCTACCAGCAACCCGCTTAATCTTGAGAGGTGCACTGCAAACAGGTCATGCATTTGAGCATACACATTTGCACATAACCTCAGGGTGTCGCATCTCCTCCAGCTGTCTTTGCTGTTTTTCCTTTACTGGTCTGCCCAGAGTCCAGTTTCAGCAGTATGTTGTAGCAATCCCACTCTCCCACTCTCATCTGTGCTGAATAGAATCTAATGTTAAGCATCATTGCTGAATGAAAGAGAAGATCAATCCAATCAGATAGCAGGTGCTTTATGTACAGTGGACACAGGAAAGAAAAAAAAATGAACGCAGCAAACAAACAATCCCTCACATGAAACAGTTTGCTCATTCACTTACGAGCCTTGCCTGCTGCTGCTCTCTCAGTCCTCTCCTTTTGTGTCCTTGTATTCTGCTTTACCAGGGGTGTGTGTGTGTGTGTGTGTGTGTGTGTGTGTGTGTGTGTGTGCATATCTGTGTGTCTGTGTCTCTACCTCTCTTTCCTGTGTGTATGTAAATCTGAATATCTGTGTGTGTGTGTGTGTGTAAATCTATGTATATCTGTATTTGTCTGTGTGTGTACATGCATTCATATGTGTGTGTGTGTGTGTGTGTGTGTGTGTGTGTGTGTATGTGTGTGTGTGTTCTTTTGGGCTAGGGTATCTTTATGGTACCTGCAGGAATAAGCAGTACAATACGTACACTTAGATTTCTCATCCCAGTTTCCCTACCCTAAGGATGGTTTCTGTCACCAGAGAAAGGATGCCTAAAGTCAGAAGATCTATAACTGGTGTTGGCACCATCCATAGTGGAACATACAGGTCACGAGCAGAGCAAACATGGATGGAATCTCCCTATATCCCAGCTGGTCCTGGTAAAATCACAATCATCCACTGGCTAACTTGGGCAAGTCTGCAGAATTTAAATACAAGTTTAAAACAAAAATCAAGATAACACTTGTCAAATCCTTATCTATGAGCAGTTTATTGGGGGAAATTATTTGCACTAAAAGGTATTTTTAAATAATTTGTTTTTAAATCAATGCATATTTAAATAAAAGTAGAATCACAAATACCACTGGCTTCTAAGACAGCTTATATAAGAGTGTGTAGATCAAAGCGCTCCAGTAATGATGTCTTGAAATAAAATGAATTTTACATCTGTTACTGGTTCTTTGTCCCAGAGTTCTGTCTTTGATTAAGGTTTCTGACATACAGGAAATATTACAAATTTACACTTTATCGATGATTTTTTTTCTCTTCTATCCCCAAATACGTGTATTTCTATATTTAACCAATTTTAACATGTGTTTTTTTTAAAAAATGTCATACCTGTTAGCATTGGTGGCCTCTTCCTAGAGGGGCTGCTGTAAGTCATGCCAGGTGTTCTTTCAGTAACAATTTAAAAGTCATCAGATAACTGGTTCTATTTTTAGACTTATGATGGCATAATTATCCTATCAAATTTGGAGTTTGGGACTAGACTCACTTTTAAATAAATCTATCTTTTTGGAAGGAGTTTTCTGAGAAAAGGGGTCTTTTATAAGCAATGAACTAAAACTATTAAACTTTTGTGCCAAATCTTACTCTCCAACTAATTTTTAAATATTTCTATATGGATTTCAAAGGCATCTCGCCATTCATACTAACTTGTCTGTACACCTTTGCCCCTTATTACACATTGTACATTATTCTAAAGCACTTTTCATAATGTTGATTGAGCAATTAAAAATAAACTCAACACTTGGACCTATTGTGTATCTTGGTAGTCTTGCACAGGGCAATCTAGTTAGAGAGCCCATGTTCTTAGTGCAAAATCACCTTGGTGATTCATCATAGGGACCAAATGTGGTACCAAAAATAAAAGCAAAGGAAGATGCAGCCAGCCTGGTTACAAGACGGCTCTTCAGCTAGGGGTGACACTGTGCTGACAGTTGCCATATTTGCGTTACGAAAGCTTGATATCTGAATTTAGCATCATATTCCTGTTGGCCGTCATTCTGAACAAAGCACTAGGAAGCACACCAGTAAACGAGTCATTATGAAGCCCTTAACAATGTTTCCACATTACCCATGCAGTCCTTGGATCAGAACCTTGTCTTGGCTGGCCTTCACTATCAGAGTCTCCCTAACACTCATCTTTGAGTCTTTGGTATTTTCTTAATACACCTTTGGCACCTAGTTTTCCCAATCTGTTTTTTTATCAATAACAGTTCTTTAAATGAAATACTCCACAGGACAAAAGCTTCAGACCCTGAGGTCAGACATCTCACTCACACCTCCAGAACACGATGAATCACTCCCAACAACTTCATAAACCTATCCAACGTGTTACATCTTCACCCTTAGAACTGCAAAACATAAGAACTTATCCACATCTCTCCCCAAAGGCATTCTCGGACATTTTGTGACGTGGTAAGTGATTGACTACTGTTCAAAAACCAGTGCCGTGCTTCATCCCGGTACCTTCTGTGAGCTCTTAGCGGGATGAAGAAATAACATCACGTCTAAATTCTGTTATCCTCGCCAACTTTCCAGAGCAGGTTTTTAAAAAAAATATTACCCTATTAAAAACATATTTTGCCTGCCCACCCTTTCCTGAGCTTCACAGCCTATAAAAAAAAGTAAGATCATAAATAAAATTTAAACTCTTAAAGGCCCAGCACAAATTTTAACCAACCCGTAGAACTTAAAGATGATCCTATATGCGATGCTAACTTATTACATTTCATTCTTAAAGAGAAAGTCTGTTCAGATTATAAGAATCATCAACAAAAAGAAGAAAGTGGATGAGCTTGTGGTAACCCAGTTGCTACACTGAGCAAGGAAGCTTCAGTATATGCCATGCTGGTCCCATCTTTAACTCATGGCTAAAGGATACTAACGGCAAACCATTTGGCACAGTGTTTGGCAAGCCAAAAAATTTCTGAAAGGACAGAACTCTCACTGTGTAAATACAATTAGATTAATTCCACCCCTTGTCCTCAGGGCCACAGCATTATCAATTATATATATATATATATATATATATATATATATATATAATTTCAATAAGAGTGGCAGAATTTAGGTAGGAGGGGGGGTGACTTAAGAATTTTAACCTAACAGATTGACCAGAGATCAATCCCTTCCTATCTCAAAAAAAAAAAAAAAATTAAAAAACCTTTTCTCCTAATGCATCAATTCACTGCTTTCTGATAAAGTGGGTATATTTTCCATTCAATGCGATGGCACTAAGGATTGCTGGGTAACACCCATGGTTTTCTCCCCTCGGTTCGGCATGCATCTCATCACTGAGATCAAGTGCACTGGTAATTAGTGTCGTATATTAACATCTTCACTATAAACAGTTCAGGCATGTAGAAACAAAATATCAACGAACTTAGCAGTTACTTTAATTCATTTTATAAATAAGCAACTGAGAATTTTGCTCCAAGTGGTCACCAGTGTAGCCCATCCCGTAGATGGGGTTCTCCGAAGTATAAGGCACAATGTGGTAGGAATGCAGCTCTTCATAGTAGAGAGACTGGGAACAGCACTCCTGTACCATAAACTTCAGCCGTTTTCTTGTATCCGAATAAGCAGTCTTATAGGAGGGGGATTCCTTAAAGTATTCATAGCTCTCTTTCTCCGTCTCTAGGTGTATCTTCCTCAGCAAATTGTTAATTAACACAGACCTTCTTAAGTAGGTTTCTGGGTCTTCAAGAAACCTGAGCTTCTCCAGGGAAAGTTTGAGGATACAGGTCCTGTCTTCGGGTAATATCAAGTGCTAGGGAGCAAATAGAGCCATTACTCTCCACATAGAGAAAAAAAGCTAGAGTTTTGTGCTATCAATGACATTGGGGTTGGGGGAGACTGGGAGAAATGTAAATCCTTACTTTTGGAAAACACCCATGGTAATCTTGATGTAAATCTTCTTCTTCTGCATATTTCCTCTTAAAGTAGGCTACTTTCGACGTTGTTAATGAATAGGATGGTACTTCTCTTGGATAAGCTAAAACAAACAAAAGACAGTTGGAGAAAGATCAGGTGCCATTGTGGCAAAGAGTGTTTCAGCACATGGAGACCATTTGTTAGCAACATTCTAGTGACCCCAGAGATTGCTACCTCCTCAAAAGCACTGTGGTTGGCAAATTGTCTTATGACTGAAGTGCCTGTTGGCAGAAAAATGCCATCATTTAGACCCAAAATAGATAGTTGCATTTAGAGTTCTATGTTGATTTCCTAATGCAGCCCCAGAAATCAAATTCAAGTACTGTTTAATCTCATGCTTTTTGTGTGTGCCAAAATATACCCAAATGTGAAACTGATACACAGAATATAGTGGAAGGGATTAAGTAATTTTCCACCATTCTTTTGGCTAATCTTTCCAATACTCTGGGAAAGTTAACACTTCTAGGGTAATCAAAATGACGTAAAATAGTTGGTGGCCCAATCATGCCTTTAAAAATAGTGGTATGATCCCTAACAGCAATCTAAACAACTGTCCTTACACCCACAGAAAAATGTAGTCTTCACCCCACATCAAGGAAGCTTCTTTTTGTAGCAGGCAAAGACCACACAGAAAATCACGACCAAAAAAAAAAAAAAAACATGCAGAGTTGTGGATCCCAGCCCTAGTGGACATGTCTACACAACACTCCCTCACCCAAAGTTCAGGGAACTTTGCTGAAGAGGGGACAGAAAGAGTATAAGAGCCAGAGGATCAGGGAGCTTGCTGTGAGATTGGGTCTCCTAGTAACATCAGAAGCTATAACCCATAAAGACTCAGCAACATGACCCCCCAAATGAGAGCTAAACAAGGATGGACATTTCAGATTGGACAGGAAAAAGCCTAAGAGGCCTCGACTTTAAACAACGAGCTACAGGTAACTGGAAGAGAGCTGGGAGTGGGAGAGGACACCCTCCCTGGGGAAGAGAACACCGAGTTTTTGCTCAGTGCCAAATGGTCAGCCCTGAAAACATACATACAAGTAACATCATACAGACTAAACAGGTTATAGATAGGAATACACAAATACGTATATGTATGCAATAACAACTGAGGAAAAGAGAGACCATGAATTTGAAGGAGAGCAGGAAGGGTATTTGCATTTGGAAGAGTTAGAGGGAGGAAAGGGAAGGGAGCAATGTTGTAATTAAAATGCAATTTTAAAAAGAAACAACAAAATTAATTAATTAATTAACATAAGTCTATATCTTCAGACAAAACCATTTTACATGATTATGTTTTAGCCACTGTCCTGACATTTGGCATAATTGAGGTTAATCATGAGGAAACGGAAGAGAATGGATAGCATAATTGACTTTAGCGTAATGTGTGCGAGTAGAAACCTTTGTTTCCTCCTTGAAAATGCTACTGCCACTGAGGATTCTGACTCGAAGGAAAACCAGTTCTCAGAGATTTGCAAAGGAGCTCCCAGGATGTACTCTAGGTGGCACTGTGACCACAGAAAGGTAGCAAGATCAAAATTCCAGTACAGGGGCTTCCAATTCAAAGCAGAATGAACGTACAAAACAGAGTCCAGTTTGATATTCATTCAAGCTCCAGGGTCCAGAGCATGTTTGCATTCTTCACCCTAACCCATACCCTCACATATTTCTGTGTTAGAACCACTTGATTCACAAAATAATGAGTACGTAAAGACGTGTAAGTTAAATAAATTTATACTTGGGCATTTGGTGCTTTTCCTCTAAAATGTAGAGCTTTAATGAGTGTAAGTATTAAAAATATGCCCTTTGATAACCTGCTTTCTGTAGTGTTTTCTTCGTCTTGGAGGCATGTGTACATAACTTTCACATGGCTCTCCTGTTGCTGGAGGGGTTCTCCTGAGCCAGCAGGGAAAGCTACAGGCCTTACCTCAAGTACCCCAAATTCTCCCTGGTGTTACTGTGGGTTATAAATCCAAAAGAGCCTTAAGTTAGCATGGGTATGTCTTATTAAGGAATCCAAGATTCAAAGAACTTGTGTATCCCACCTAAAAGAGACCAGTGATGTGATGAGGAATCAGTAGTTGAGGCTCCATGCTCACAGTTCCTGAACTCAATAAACAAAGCACAACTTATATAGATTTTTCACTTGTTTAAAAGGGTTAGGCATTTTTTTGTTCATTCGTTTTTCGTTTTTAAGATAATGGAACTGTTAGGGTCACTTTGAAAGCTATTAACCAAATAACTAGATAACAAAATTTTAGTTTATCCCTTGTGATAACGACTCCTACATGCATGCGTGTGTGTGTGTGTGTGTGTGTGTGTGTGTGTGTGTGTGTGTGTGTGTGTGGTGTATGCCTGTGTCTATGTGTTTCTGTTTGTACATGTCTACATAAGGTGTGCGTGCAAACGGAGGTTGACACGGATTTTCATCCACAATTGATCTCCACATTACTTATTTGAGAAGGGGTCTCTCACTGAACTTAGATTCACAAAATGGCTAGACTAGCTAGCCAGGAAGCTCTGGGGACTCTTACCCTCACCTTCTTAGCATTCAGGTTACAGGTCCTGGCTGCAGCCTGGCTTTTACATGGGCGCTTGGGATCCAAAACTCAGGTATTGATGCTTATACAGCAAGCGAATTACATGCTAAGCCAGCATGTCCCCAGCCCCTATTCCTACTTTTTAATTAACTAACTAATTGATGTAATAGTGGTTCTCAAATGCTAACAAGCATCAGAATCCCTTGTAGGGCTCCTTGGCACAAACTGCTGGGCCTCTCTACCTTTTCAGTAGGTCCAGAGGGGAAAATTTGTACTTTTACCCAGTTTCCAAATGAGATCCATGCCAGCTAGCCTGGGCCACATTTTGAGAACTTGAGTGTTACAGCACCAGGCACCTGTACTAGTAGGCAATAAAAGTTGAACGAGCCCATCAGCTGATAGCCAAGCAAATGGAGTTGATTGATTTTGTCATTGTGGCTATTGCTCCCCTTTATCAGCTTGGGTTCGCTTTTTTTTTTTTTTTTTTTTTTTTTTTTTTGTAAGCATCATGAACAAAGCCAGCTCACATTTTAATTACACAGTAAAGAATGAAGTCCATTTTCAACAAGACTCCCAGGGATCATCTTAAGAGGCGTCAATGCCTGTTACTAGCATTGGTGCTTAGGAAGGTCATAACCTTTCCTGGCAAGATCTAGCAAGTTACTCTAGTGAAGGGTAGAGTGAGGAAAGACTGGGAAATAGGAAGCATAACTTTGCCATAAAGCAACATGGTTTTTAATCTATATATGTGTCCTTTATTAAATATTGGCTTGCTTTATCGTCTTAAGTAACGGCACTTAATGGAACATTTGTAGCCAGTTAAAAGGCCATTCGTGGCACAGTGGAAGACAATGTGTCAGACTCAACTGTTCTGCCTCCCACTCCCAAGAGATCCTCCAGGAACGCTAAGGATTCTGGGTGGCTGTATTCCAGAAGTTAGCCTCAACTACAGATGGCCTCAGCCCTTGAAAATACAGAGCGAATACTCAGAGGTCTCGACCTGAGCCAGCTCCTCCTGGGCGGGGCTCTTCGTCAGTTTATTGTTCTTGAGGAAACCCCCCACTGCTGGCTGCCGAAAGGCTGCGCAGCCTTCACAGCTGCTGTCAGCTTGGCAATCCCCTCCAAGCTGGCTGCCTGGCTCTTTGCAATGTTTTCCACATCACTTTTTGGAAGATGGTTTCAGCCACTTTGAGGCTAAAGTATGTAGCAAACGTAAGTTGCTACATCTGTTTACTTGCTGGATAAAAACTCAAAAGCTTCAGAGCTGGCAGCTACGCCTTGATCATGCCTGAAGTCTGCCTCTTCTGAGTGCAGCCCAGGAAACCACCGCCCAGAAGAGAGTCTAGTTGACAGCCAGTTGTGTGGCTAAGAGTTGGGGGTCTAAGAATCCCTGACGTTACATGGCTACGTAAGCGCGCAACGTGACCATGTGATCTACGCATACGCGTGGAGTAGTGACGTGACCTGGCCACGCCCCCAGCCGGTTTTTTAAAGCGGAGCGCCATATTCCCGGTTCTCTCTCTCTCTTCTCTCTCTCTCTTCTCTACGCACGTGTCTCTCCCACAGGCCTGCACTCTCTATCCCTGTATTTCTAATAAACTCTTATAAGCGGGGGGAAAAAAAAAGAGTTGGGGGTCTAGAAGTGGGGGGAGGCATAGGTTTACTCTCCAGATCTATTGCTTCTTAGTTGTGTGACTTTAAACAAATTACCTAGACTCATTACAAATCCCATTTGTTCAGTGGGGTTATAAATACCCTGGATCCTGCAGTTATGCAAAGTAGCATCACACCTAATATATGGTAAGCCCCGTACCAAATCAATATAATGAGTGCCAATAGACGGAGACCAGTCACACAAAAGCCAAGCCCGCCCCACCCTACTAGCTCAGACCTAAAGACCATTCCCACCACCCAGCCACACAGAGAGGATAGTTATTGGTTGAAAGCTCAGATGGTCAAGTTGACAGGTACTACACAGAACCCACAATCTCTCTGAGAATGTGTTTCTGGTGTATTCCTATGGGCCATGCATTTGGGGCTAAAGGAAATGCGAACTGTCTATGAAACATTTATCTAATCTTCTGCATGATTCATCAGTGTTGATCCAAATGCCCCAAAATGTGCACTTGCTATGATTGAGTGGACAAGAATAAGTGTGCTGCTGCTGTTCCTGCCACCAAAAAGCTTGTAATTCACCTAAAATCCAATGAAATAAACAAGAGCAAAGTGACTATACGCCTTTAGAGTCAGCATTCTGAGTTCTGAGGATAGTATACAAATTACAAAACGGAATTGAACTGAGCTGGAGTTTATCTCCGAAGTAAAACAGCTAATGCTGGTTTGAACATTAAAATTATTTTTAATGTTGTAACCTCTGGGTCACATGAAATGTCTGTGCCAGGCCCCAAGCATGTCACAGTGTTAAGAGCTCAGCAAGTAACACACTTTCAAAAGCCACAGATCAGAGTGACCCATCAGAGTGTCATTAGAGCTCCGGCAGGGCAATTCATACATATGTCTTTAAATAAATGCTTAAAATGCAATTACAAACGATTGCTTCCTTATTGTCCTGCATTTGCCTCCAGGCAACTGGAATCCTGTTAGCATTCAAGTGATTTCATTTGGTAGGAGGCCCAGGGACAGTACATTAAGGTAACATCATCAGCAAATTAATTTATAAACACTTTGAAAGGGCAGACAACAGTAAAAACAGTACAAGTACATCCCACCTAGGGGATTTTTTTTTTTTTTTAGGTCAAAGGAGAAACCTGAGAAAGAGTAAAGAGCTGCTGTGTTTAGTTCTATCATCTTAGTAGTTTTTAGTTTTCCCCAACCTTTTAACCAACATCCAGTAAAGATCAAGTTGAGGCCATCTGGTTAGAGGTATGCATCCTAGCTACAGACAGAAGGGGTGGAGGCTGATCTTCGGGGAGAGTGAGTGCTGTATCAGACCAACAGCCGATGTCTGTCATAGACAAAGCACAGCCTTATCAGTTCCCCGTTTGTGATGTGAGCCAGGCATTGGCCTTTGAAAATATTAGTATCCTATCCGTCTAAACCATGCTTAACTGATAGGAAAACTATCAGTTTTCATCTTAAAGGCTATAAATACATTTGTTTGGAATTATCTAATCGAGGGCTGGTGATGTAACTCTGTAACTTGGTGGTAGAGCATTCACCTTGCAGGCACAGGACTTGGGTTCAATCCTCAATGTAGCCAGAAAAAAAAAACAACAGAAATACTAACAACAACGACAACCAAGAGAATCATCTCGTCTGACCCTGCTAGCCATGTTCTGCTGTCTTACTACATGGCTTAAAGCATTCCACCGTGACAAACCCCAGCTCTGTGATTTGTTTCATATCTTCAGGACATAACCTGAAAGAGCCTGAGTTTTTTTCACGGGGGCAGGGGGACAATTTCCAATTCACTGACTTCCATGTCATTTAGTTGAGATGGTGCTTTAAAAGCATTTTCTTCTATGTCTGTCACACTCATAATCTCAGCTCAATCACTGTTATGTATCATTACTGCAATGACCCCTTTTCAAACCATGAATATACATCCTACTCAGAAGCATCATGTTCTATGTAGGATATTTGTGCCCTCACTGGTGTGAAGTACAGGGTTACATAAAACATTCATGAGTGTGTTCACGAAGGCAGACGGGAACAAAGTCCAAGGCTGTGCTGGCTTGCTTTCCGTGGACATACAGCTTTGTTGATACCTGACAGTACTTCATCAGGTAGGCATCTTCCGTCTGTCAACACCCCAAGTACTCAGCACCTTTCTGCATGATATGCTCTATGGTAGCAGAACTCAGTGTCCATGTTTAGCTCTGGATCAATGAGGCAATCTGTTTCTTCAGATCTATCATCTATTCCAAGCACAATATTGACTTCATTGTCAGTTTCTGATTAGCAACAAGTTGCAGATTCTGGAAGGCTTCCTGAGGAACTTCCAGAGATACTGATGGCCAGTGATTTCTTAAGAGAGCAGCGGCATTGTCTGGCCTGAGATTCCTGGTCCCCTGGCATAGTCCCAAGCACCGAAGTGGACTATTGAACAGAGCATCAGAAGTCCCACAAACTCATCTTGTTCTACTGGTCACTGAACCAGAGAGAACACCATTAAACAAGAGGTGAGCAGCCAGGCAATGAGGAAGTTACTCTGCTGCAGTACAACCCACTTCTCCAAGAAGCTAGCCAATGACAATGGCAGAGGCCAAAAGGTATGAGTTTTGAGAGTACACCTTGTGATTTATCACTCTCTAGGGGAATGCTGCCCCCATTCCCTGAACCTTAGAATGTGAGACTGACAAAGAAAAAATTGGCCAAGCAACTACATTGCCTGATATGGCTTCCAAAAAATCATCCCACCAATAGTATCTAGAGAGAGATTTTAACTCCTGTGGGCACCTAGGTCCAGTGCTCGGAGAGGAGAGGAGAGTCTTGATCTCTGACCTGAGGGCAACAGAGGCCTTTTAGAGAGTCCTAATCAGTATCATCCACACACTCTTTTGTTTGTATATCATCCATCGTCATCCGTCGTATTTTATTTGGGTGTATCAACAAAGCACCCGAAGGCCAGATTTGCTTCTGCTGTCCGAGAAGGTTTGTGTAAGACTCAAGTCAGAACTACCACTTGCTTCTCTGGAAGCCCTGGCTCTGGTGTTGAGATGGTCTGCCTGCAGCTCTCATGCTGTCTGATTGGAGTTGCCAACTAAAGACCCTCTAGCAAGAAAATTATCTGCGGCAGTGGGGTGCCTTCCTTCTACAGGCATGGGGCATCTTTGAAATGCACTGTCCTCAAGCTCGGCCCATCTGCAAAGTCACTGGCTGTCTTACCAAGACGTGACAATAGCGTGCAGGGACTGAATCGAGCCTTTGGGCACCTGATTCCTACTTCTCTTTGAAGGTATCCCCAGCTTCTTCATGTCCTGCCCCATGGTCCTTTTGGATAGGCTCCTGAAGTCTCACAGACCCTCTGATAGATCCCTGCAGAGGCCCCCAGCCTCAGACTTGTGCCTGGTCTCCATCCACTCACTGGCATTTAGAAGTCTCCTATCTCTCCATTAAGAAGACTTTCTCTTGCCTCTCCAGTCAAGAATATAGAAGTAAATGTTTGGTTTATTCTGAATATACGGCTATATTTGACAGTACTGAATGTAAACACTAGTAAAGCCTTACTGCTTTTCACCCGTAACTCCCATTGTCCCCTCTGGGAATTAGTTCCTGAAATTGGAAGAGTCTGTATTGGTGTTTTTGTATACTTTTGACTGGGGAAAAAATTGAAAATAATTGTGTTAGACTAAAAGGGAGAAACAATGTACTAGAATTGTATAAAAGCAGCTTATTTTTTAATGTAAATTTAAAATGTATTTTTTAATATAAATTCAATGTAAATAAAGAGAGTTAACAAGACGGGCTTCTGCAGGCCCCCAGGTCCAACATAAAGGCAGGTTTTTCTTCCTTTGCCTCAATTCTGAAAGTCTGGTGAGTTCACACCTGTGTCCATTTCTGAGAAAGTTATTTTTCATCTATATATAGATTTCATTTCATATTTACTCTGTTGTGCAGGTTTCAGAAGCACACACTGCTCTGGAAGACAGTCTAAGCTGCCTGTACATTGGCTTTCAAGCATGCTTGGGACTTCAATGTTTTCCCTGCTGAAACTGAGTCATGAGCAGATGGCCTAGGAGTGGAAGCCTTGATGGAGATTTCAAAGACTCCATTGTGTCTCAAGGCATCTTCGAAGCCTTACAGGAGCTTCATGACATGAATCCAAACATGAATGTTGATGTGCACCTAAAGACTTCCCAACAGAGTGAGCAGCTGGGAATGGAAGGGTGCAATTAGATCTCAGTTTCAGCCCTAGGCTGTTTGATCTCAGCTTGATCTAATCTAAGCATCATATCCCAAGCACACACACACTCTTTACGACCTAAAGTGTGGTAATGTGGATGGGGGCACCTAGAAACTTCAAAACCAATGTTTACTTTTGTGGATTCACTGAAACTGTGGAGCCACCAACATCCCTAGGATTAAGTGTCTGCTATTGTGATACTTAATCTTTTTATTTATTTAGGACTAAATGCTATGACATCAGCAAGTAGTAATTTTTCAACAGACATGTTCACCAAAATCTGTGCAGTACATATTCTGCATGTTGCATTTTCATGATGAAAATCAATACAAAAATTTGAGAAGCACTTTGACTTTTTTGATTGTGACAGGGGTCTTCGTGGCAGTGTCATTCACAGACATTAAGGACATAGAGGTTTTAAACTTCTATGTATGTCTCATAAGAAATGAGATATATATATAATATATGTATAAATTACAAGACTAACACATACACATGAACCAATCATCGTGACTGCTTTTCTCATACACTCCTGAGAATGCGGCCCTGCACAGAACACTTACACACCCCCTGGAAGATTGCAGTGAGTCTCATCATCTCCATGAATTTGTTTCTCACAATAAAATATGGCAATTATCATGACAGAAGGGAGAAGGCTGGATGGTACTAAGAGCTAATGAATGCTGCAGTTTGGGTTTATATATGGTAATCTTATCCTAATATTATTAAACTACAGTGATTTCCACAAGCGACCATAAAAATGAATGATTTCAAAGTCTCATGACACTCAATAAAGCCATATAAAATCAGAAAGAATTTTTGAATGGGAATCTGAATAGATTCTCTCCAATTGCATATCTCTATGGCGGGCCCATCTTTCTGAGTTTGCCATTGGCTAGGCTAGTCACCTCTGGCAGGGTACTGCTCAGGGATTGCTCATTATACCAAGTTCCACAGTGCTAGGGAGCTGAACATTCAATTATACATCAAATTCAGTCTTATAATTGAGAAGAAAGTAGTTAATTTTCCTTGGTCTCTACCATAAGTCTTCATGTAAATGGGCATTCCAAAAGTCTCCACAACCTCCTATGGTACCTTGAAGAATTCTCTTGGTTCTTTCACCCCAGACCTGCACAGCCACTGTGCTCAGAAAGCTTCCTCTTGACATTTTCCGGGATCCAAGTTCCCTCACTTGGCCCACCCAATTCACATGGTTCTAAGAGAGGAACTCTGACAGCCCACAAATGTCCTTTTTACAGAAAACCTTTATTGACTTCAGCCCAGCAACAGCCTATATAAACAGCCCTTTCTATTGATCCTGTAAGTTGCCACGATACTACATTAGCATTTATTTCTCTGAATACATATTTAAACACTAATTTCTCTTCATCTGGTGATTACCTGGTAATGCTGACTCAGTCCGAACAGCGTATGTCTAGGACAGTCTCAGAAGATTTGGTGAGAACTCCCCTTGGCACATGGAGCATGTCTCACAGCCTCGGGCTCATGAATGGTGACCAGAGATCTTGAAACAAGGAGACATACTGGCATAAGTCACCTCTACCGAATCAGGGATGGTGAGACATGAATTAATTGTCAGGGCAGGAGATCCCGTGAGGGGTTTTAGGGGCGCGGGGGGCGGGGGCCGTGAGGACCCAGATATTTGAGATAGGGTCGATCTGGAATCTGGATTAGATAGAGAGATAAACCTTCCAACTCACACAATCACTTAAGTTTAAATCGGAGCAGTGTCAACTCCCCTTAAGAGATTTGGAAAGTGCCCAGTAACTTATCTCACCAGTTATTTACTGGTGATTATTTGGGGAAGATTGATTTTGAAAAATCACAGCCAGCCTCTTGTACAGTTCTCTCCAAAATCACAAAGCAATTAACTCAAACCACAGTAACTTGGTCTTTCTCTGGCATAGTGACTCTTTCTGGCAAGGTTTGGAGAAGCCAGACGCCGCTACACGTCTGAAGATAGTTCTCAGCAAAGGGCTCCGTTTAACCACACCTAGTCTGCATGGCTGTGTGCTCACAGATCTCATCATCTTCTATATTTAGAGAGACGGGCTTTCCAAGGGAAGACGGGCATCCAATAAGGACGATCTCATCTAGAGAGGTGAGTTACTATGGTTACTGCTCAGGAGACTGAGGACCCGTGAAGGGCTACTCCTGGCCAGATGGACCCTTTCCAGATGAGGACCTAAAACAGACCCCTGCTCTCCATACGTGTTGACTGAATTTAGCGGAGCCTACTCTGTGTCATTTTGTCCATAACCACAGGCTGCCTTTGGGCGCTCACTGCCTCCAGCTCTCCAGTCTCAGGCAGCCAGGCAAAGCAAAATCAAGGAGGGTGGAAAACTTCTGAGCACTAACCTAACAGTAGTGAGCCGAGGGGGAGTCTCTATATCCAATCCTGGGATTTAAAAATCAAATCAAGTTATTCTGGACCAGTGGCTGGTCACTTTTCAATGACTGGGGGCGGGGTGGGACCGAGGCCAAGTCCCTTGCCTCCTGCGCTAGGGAACGCGTCTTTTTCTGGGCCTTGGGGTTAGATGCCTGGCTGGAGGGGTTCTGGAATACCTTGCCAGGGGTCCACTCACCCGAAGACTGCGTGTGCAACTGTTTCGTAGCTCCTGTTTTTCGCGAAGGTGTCACTCTTCGGACGGGCTCTGACAGCAACAGCGGCGGCAGCAGCGGCGGCGACTGCAGCTCGGCTGGGCGGCCGGCTCCTGCAGATCGGTCCCTCCTTCTCTGAAGCGCCTCTCGCTCCGGCTCAGAACGCGAGGCGGGCGCGTGGCTTTTCTAGGCGCGCATTGGACCAAAGGGAGCAGATGTTATCCGGTTGCTAGGAGCGTTGCTAGGAGGCGATGACGCCCCTCCACCGCTCCGAGCAACTTTCCAGAAGGTCTCGAGCGCCAGAGGGGGCTGCTGAGAGCCTGTCTGGGAGCTTATACCTGGAGCAAAGGCTGGGATCGAGGGGTCCAGCCACTGACTTAGTCCTAAAGAGCTGGCAACGACAATGACGACGATGAGGGAGCTTTGCGGGCTTGAGCGTTGAGAGGAGCCTCACGTCCCAGGAAACAGTCACTCACTGGAGGACCATGGGGGTATCCCCATGAAAATTGAATTTGGGGACAGTGGTGGAATGGCACTTAAAGGTGTGAGCTGAGCTGTGCGGAATTCTTTGGCTCTGGGACTGTCTCCAACTGTGTTCCTGTTCCTATAAGCAGGTTTGAGCAGTTGACGGATTTGGAAGAGGGAAATATTAATCCATGGAACTCAATCTTGAGTTTAATTCCTTTGTGTACCGGATATGACTGCCTCCTGACAAGGTGTCAAAGATTGGGGGGGGGGCACAGACTAGGAGAGGGGGGCTCGCATGGTCTAAAAGTACTTCATTCACACAACTTAGATCCAAGAAAATAAACCCTCGATTAATATGAAACTTTCTGTAAAAAAAAATAATAATTGCAGAAAAGATATGAAGTTGGAAAAAAGATGAAGAGGTTTCCAGGATAGTGGTCCAGGGAGTGGGGAATGAATATGATCAAAATACATTGTATACTTATATTAAATTCTCAAGTGATAAATAAAATGTATATTTTTAAAGGCACCCAAAAGGGTACTTCCTTTTCACAAAGAAAACTGGGAGGAACTATATATGTTTCAGTCATTTTTGCTTTATTTTAATTTCTACATAGGTTTGCATGCTCTTTGACTTCTGGATAGAGCTTTTTTTAATTTGGTTTTTGTTTATGTTCTTAACCATTGCTTCTCATCACCACTGTTGTTAAACAGTGTTATTTTATCTGGGAAAGAAGCTGGTAAGATCCTCTAAGTGGGAACATTTGAAAAGCCAATGAGTAAATTCAAGAAAAGAAGACAAAACACCTAGTAAAGATATTTTGCCCAATGTGCCTCCTTGATGGTAAATTCCCCCTAAGGAAAGAACATAGCATCTCCCTGACTCCCCAGAGAGTCAGTCAGGCCAGGGCCAGGATGGAAGTTAGCACCACCTGGGAATCACTTACAAAGAAATACTGTGTTTAGATCCAAGACAGGTCTGCTGCATAGTAAAGTGTTAAGCACTGTGGTGGTAGCCATCTTCAAAGCCAATGGGGCAACAGTGTGACCCCACAGCTCAGAGGCCTCCAGTGTCTACTTAATGCCTCTGGCAAACTTAGATCTGGGAGTCTGTTTGCCCTGAGGTTTGAGAAGCTGACAGCTGAACTGGAACTGTGCAAAGCAGTAATAAGTAGCCAAGGTGGGCTAAAGAGCTAATCATAGTAAAGGTACTGCAAAGGTGACTAAAGGGGGACCTTGAGAGCAGTTCAGATCTCCCAGGTGTCCAGCGGCATGTTACATGGCTGCTTTGCTATTGGCAGCAAGAGGCTAAAAGGGGCTGCCATCTCTTTCCTTCTCCTCTAGCCCTTCCCCTGGGACTCTACCTTTGACCTTTAGCTTCCAGTCACCCTGGACTCTTCTCTACCTTGTATGGAGAAGGTTCCAAGGTCTCCGGGGATCTGTGCATTGTATTTCTTTCTCTTTCGTGTGTCTCCCTCTCACCTGGCTTCCTCCCTCCCACCCAGCCTGCAAGTTGCTGCTTAAATACATCCTCCTAGCAGCTTTCCTAATGACAGCCGGAGTCACACTCCCCCAGCCCACCTACAGTACTCATCCTGCCTCACGCTAAGCTAGTTCTCTCAGGATAACAGTGAGGGCCCAGTGTTTAACGCACAGCGCCAGGTGCACGTTAGGGAGCCCCGCTGAGCCTGTGGCCATGATTTCCTGAGCTGGACAGCTCTTAGCTAGTGCCACACACTGACATGAGGGTAGCCCAGAGCTGCCATCATTTTCAGCTAGGGGTGTGGGAAGACTTAATGAAGCACTCTATTTATACACTGACTTCATTTCCTTTTCGAGGACCAGTGTCTGGTCTCTGAGAACCGCAGGAAGTTCTCAACCTGGAGTCCCTCTGACATATTCTTAGCACTCCTCTTCCCAGTCCTCTAAACTTAGTGTGAGTCTTCTGAGTTCACCTGCGTCTTCTCTTTCCTAAAAATGCACCCCCCCCCCCAGGCTGGGACAACAGCTCTGTCAGTGAAGTGCTTGCCACAAAAGCCTGGGGACCTGAGTTCAATCTCCAGACCCACCTTTAAAAGTGGCATATAATAGCATATGCTGCCAAGGCAGAGGCAGGTATATCACTGAGGTACACTGCCGGCCCCATGGGAATGGGGGTACACCTCAGTAGCCGAGGATCTGCCTAGCATGTATGAGCCTGTAGATTCAGTCTCCAGAACTGAAAACAGACAAACCCCACCCAAATCACATGCTCTATCACTACAGAACCAAAGCAGAGAAACCGTTCAGGGGAGCACGGTGGGCACACATGCAATGTATCAGAACCGACCAGGAAACAATGTATCAGAACCGATCAGGAAACAATGTATCTGAACCGATCAGGAAACAATGTATCTGAACCAATCAGGAAACAATGTATCTGGACCAACCAGGAAACAATGTATCTGAACTGATCGAGAAACAATGTGTCTAAACCAATCAGGAAACAATGTATCTGGCCAATCAGGAAACAATGTATCTGAACTGATCAAGAAACAATTTATCTGAACCAATCAGGAAACACTGTATCTGAACCGACCAGAAAAACTGGTCCACCGTGATGTAACTTCTGAGTAATTGCCCCATCTCCCTTTCATATAGGGCTCCCTTAAAAAAAAAAAATAGACGTTAGAAAATGTGAAGGAAGGGTCAGGGTGATATCAGGATGACAGAGTGGCCTTGTGACAAATCTAGAAACAGAACAAAGGTGTGACTCTTGATCCCTGCAGGCCCATTGATATCTGCAAATATTTGTGTTGTTCTCTGGTGACCCTATCTTGCTGTGTATCCCAGACCAGCTTTGAACTCTAGACCTCCTGCCTCAGCTTTCTGACTGCTGGGGATACCAGGCATATGCCACCTTGTCCAGACTACAGCAGATGGAACTTCACACACGCTTCACTCCTGCTCACTTCCTTTTGAGCAACATTTACAAATCCTCCTGGAGAAATAACGCCAGACACTGTAAGGCTCACATAAAGTTTTGGGGTGTTTATATTATTTGATTCATCAGTCCAATGTTATTGGAGATAGCTAATGTTTTCAAAGTAACTCTACACAAAGCACCACAGGCAACTAAGGCCTGCCAAGAGTGGGATAAAGAGTCTTCCCTAGGATACACACAGCACAATATGGTATGTACTCACTCATAGGAAGATGCTAGATGTGGAACAAGGATGACTGGACTGCTACTCACATCACCAGTGAGGCTACCTGGAAAACGGGACCCCAAAAAAAGACACGGAGAAATGGACGAGATCTACATGAACAGCCTGGTCATGAGTGGGAACAATGAAGGGCGACAGTCGAGGGAAAGAGAGTGGAAGATCCTAACTGGATCAAGAAAAGAGAGGGAGAACAAGGAATAGGAGACCATGGTAAATGAAGACCACATGAGAAGGTGAGAAGGGGAGGAAGCAGAGAGCTAGGGAGGCCCACAGAGATCCACAAAGATACCCCCGCAAAAGACTGCTGGCAATGGTCGCGAGACGGCAAGAACTGACCTACTCTGGTGATGGGATGGCCAGACACCCAGATAGTGGTGCCATAAACCCCATCCAAGGACTGAGGAATCTGAATGCAGACATCCACGGCTGGGCCCCTGGTGGAGCACTGGGAGTCTAATTAGTGAGAAAGAAGAGGGTTTATATGAGCGAGAATTGTTGAAGCCAAGGTTGGATAAAGCACCAGGACAAATAACCAAATGAATGGAAGCACAGGATCTATGAACCAAAGACTGAGGGGCCCCCAACTGGATCAGGCCCCCTGAATGGGTGAGACAGTCATTTGGCTTGATCTGTTTGGGAGGCAGCTGTGCGTTGGTGCCAGGTCCTGGGCTCGTTGCATGAGTTGGCTGTTTGAATCCTGGGACTTATGCAGGGACACTTGGCTCGGTCTGGGAGGGGGGAATGGACCTGCCTGGACTGAGTCTACCAGGTCAACCCCGGTCCTCGGGGGAGACCTTGATCTGGAGGAGGTGGGAATGGGGGGTGGGCTGGGGGGGGGGGTGGGTGAGAGGGGGAGAACAGGGGAATCTGTGGCTATTATGTTGAACTGAATGGTGTTGTAAAATAAAAAAAATAAAATAAAATAAAAACCTCACCATGTTAACCAAAAAAAAAAAAAAAAAAAAAAAGAGTCTTCCCTAGGGAAGAGCACAACAATTGGTTATCCAATACCAAAGGGACAGCCCTGAAAATGTACATACAAGTGCCATCATACAGACTGAGCAGGTTGTATTTTTATATTTAGCAATATATATATACATTCATATAACAACAATTAATGAAAGAAGAGGCCATAAATTTGAAAGAGAACAAGGAGCAATATATGGAAAGAAAATTGTGATATCAAAAAAATAAACGTTAAAAAAAGAAAAGGGATATTATAAATAAACCATGCTATAGAGTTTTAACACTACCACATGGGCTAGGAAACACAAGAGAAAACAGATCCATGGTCATAGAAGGGGGTACTATTTCAGCCCTTAAGGATGGGAGAGTCTAATTGACATGTCAGGAGGCAGCAGTCCTAGATACTCCAGATGACATATTCTAAACTTAGTTAGACCTCTTTCTTCTGCACTCTACTTACAGCTAAAACTGTACATTTTGGTACCTTTATATACCATCTGTGGTTCACTGTGGCCCATATGGAGGAGCATCCAGCCTTGCCCGGGCTACCAGCTCAGAGCAGTTTGTTCTGGACTTGGAGCCTTCATTTCAGCAATGTGCCCACAGCCCTGAAATGCTTGAAATCCAACGTGACTGTTGGTGAACAAGCAGATCACTCTAGTCAGCCTATAATGTTGTACTGGGTAGCCATTCCAGCTTTGATCTGGAAGTTCCAACCCCATTGAGGCTTCGACAACTGTCATGCCTACAAGGTGGAGCCAAGGGAGGTGCCTGGAGACTGAGATCTGGATAAGCCAGCTGCTCACTCTGTTCCTGGACCCTTGACGGTGGAGGTTGACCGAGCAGAGCTCCAGAGAACACCACTGGACTGTGATATACCTTCCCCAGACCCCATGACCTACCTATCCCTTCATTTGTAAGTTACCCACTAAATAAACCTCGCTTTTAACTATGTGGAGTGACCTTAATAATTCCACCAATATAATGTCCTAGTGCAACCATGGTGAGAAGGAACTGGTGGTGTGTGGGGGGGACCAAACTCAGCACCACGAGGCCTTCAGTTGTGACCACTAGGGAGACAACACTGGGAAGAAGCTTATTTCAGAAGATGGACTAAGGAAAGAGTGTTGGGATGTGAGATGTTGTCTAGACGGGGTTTACTATTTTCAATTCATTTCCCCAGGCACGTAAAACTAAAATCGCCAACCGTTTCAAAAGAAAGATTACTTTTTTATTTAGTGTGTGTGTGCACATTCACGAACATGCATACCATGTGTGAAGGCCATGGACAGCTTGCTGGAGTTGTCTCTTTCATTCATAATGTGGGTCTAGGCGATCAAACTCCAGTCTCTGTGGGCTGATGCCCCTGCCTTCTTAAACACAGTAGAGTTCTGTGACTGGTCCTGGTCCATAGAGGTTGGGCAGAAGTGTGCCCCCCAGATCCAATTATTTCATTCTCTCTCATGCCTTTCTCCCCTGCTGACAAGGCAGAGTGTTCCTTGAGAACACGTGACAGGAAGGTAGCAAACTCTCCCACGGAGAGGCACTCAGAAGAAAGCTGCATGGCCAAAGAATTGGTTCAGACTGTGGCATCAAAAACCTTTCTCACACAAATATGCCCACAGTTAGGGCAAGTGGTATTAATGCCACAACTAACATAAAAATAGTGAAAACAAACGGTCCCTGGAGCATTTCTAGAATAGCGTTGCATTTTCATTCGATTTGGAGGATTTGGACTTGGCTTTCATGCTGTGGAGGTCCTGGACTGGAACAGCCCCACTCCTTCTCCTTCTTTGGGATCAGTGCATCTGCGCATTGTAAACTAATTAGAAATGAGTAAACACGGAGGATCGAGATTTCTGGACAAGAGTGTCACTGAAGGGGAACCGCCTCCACTCAGCATGTGAAAACCTGCACTTGTCCTCAGTTTTCCAGACACATTTTAGTAATCCAGGTATTGTGATATTTATATAGATCCTTCCTTACCTGGTATTTTTAAACTCAATCCCTTCAACAAGCATTTGACGGGTGTCGACTTGTATTCATGCTCATAAAAGCCCGAGTCATTCTGAAGCTAAGTAAATCATGTAGCTTTGCAAGTGTAATGCTTAGGGTTCTGACATGCAGGTCTGCAGCTGGGATAGTTTTGAAGTTAAGGTTTTTGTGTATAGTGAAATAATATCATTCAGGCTCATAAAATTTACATGTTGGTGGTGCAAAATGTAACATTAAAAATTTTGACACATGTACATACAAACCATCTGCTAAAACTTTATTGACAAGACCTGTAACAATGCTTTTACAAAATCAGACTGCTTCTCAGTTTTGAACTGCCATGAATTCAGTTTCATTAGACATTTTGAACAAACCGAGGCTAATGCTTCTAGGTTTCATTTTTTTTAAACAAAAAGCAATTCAAATTTGTCCTCATGCATTTAAATACCTAATACAGAAACAGATTTCAGGCTACACAAATGTACTTTTCCACATCACCAAGACTGAGCATCTTCTATGATTTGTAGAAGAAAAACTGTAATTCTCCCAGCCATGAATTCCTTCTTTATCATGGGCAAACAATTTTATACATTCTAATGGATTTCCAAAGGTTATAGTCATCACAAGAAGATTGACATCCTATACCTCTCTGGTGGCCTGGTAGAAGCAAGGGACATACCAGTGACTCAGCAGTGGGTCACAACCATGAATACAAGATCAGGAACAGTACAAAAGTTAGAAAAAGTACACCAATGCTGAGTTTCACAATTTAAAATACCAAGCTTTTTCCACCATGCTCATTTTTCACCAACAGAAGTAAATTTAGAAATGGGGAGGGTCGTTCCATTCTGTCTGTTCTTCAGACAGCAATGTGTCTGTCATCTAAGCTTTCATGGGATACCCTAAAGTCAATGATGTCACACCAGGGAGAAACATAGGACTCCAATATGGAATGCACTGATGACTCATATTCTCTCTCTCTCTCTCTCTCTCTATCTATCTATCTATCTATCTATCTATCTATCTCTATCTCTATCTCTATCTCTATCTCTATCTCTATCTCTATCTCTATCTCTATCTCTCCTCCTCTTACACATACACATACACCCCCTTGACCACACAGGCATTACCTGAAGATGAACTTTCTTCAGAGGGGGACCTATGATAGAGGCCAGGTCTGAAATGCCTATGAAGTCCTGAGAAAGGCTCAGGGCAACTCTTACTTGACAGTGGCCTGGCCTTCAACCATAAACTTCTCAAAAATTCTGCTAGTGGCTTAGAAATCTAGGCGAAGACCCAATTTTATGCTAAAAATGCAAGTAAAATGTATAAAACTATTGCTACCCATCAAAGAAGAAGAGCAGCGTAGCACACAGAGATGACACCTGGCAGGAAACACGGGCTTGGAAGAGATGATCATGGCCCTGCATCTGCAGTATCCAGCCAGGAGCAGAGCAGTCCTGGGAAGCTCTTCCCACTGAGAACAGCATGCTCCACCGTAGGGTAAAACCTCCTGAAGACGTCTCCCAAAATAGTTACATGTGCTCAGAATGAATGAATCATTCACATTTACATTTTTTATGCAAGTTCTTCAAGGACACCCATCAAAAGTTGAGATATGAAAGAAAACCAATAAAATATTTTAAAACAACAGAACTGCACACAGTATGCATATGGCGGGACATAGATGTGTGAATGTGAACAACTGTTTCAGATGCCATATGAAGACTAAAAAAAAAATCAGAAATACTCAGATTTATCTTGTACTGTGAACCCAAAATATTGCTATGAAATCTTGGATGTTCCTTAAAAATGAGTTTTTAATCTTTACTTTTTTTGGGAGATAATGAAAGTATATTTACAAAGGAAGTGACTACGTGAGTGAGAAAGGTTGTTGGGGATGGGAGGTGGACAGCCATGTTCTTAAGAGAAAGTGATAATGTGGCTTTAAGAACCCTTTTTAGTGGGTAAGGGGATGGGTTGGAATTCTTTCCACAAACTACATTCAGATCCCCTTTTGGAAGATTGAGCGGTGGGGGGGGGGCAGCTAATTTAGTACTTCTCCTGTACTCAAACTGTTATAAAGGAATGTGCACACTCAACTCAAAAATGGCAAACCCCCGAATTAAAGTGGAGTTGTAATTTGTTAAAGAAACAAACCAGAACCATGGAGATGATACAAGTCAAAATCCTTACCACGCAAGCCCACCGACCTGGGTTTGAGCCCTAGGAGCCAAGGTAAAATGGAAGAAGAAAAATAACCCCATGAAATTGTCTTCTGACCTCCACAGGCACACCATGGCATGTGCTCTACACACACACACACACTCGTGCCCACACACATCTTAAAACCTTTTAAATCAGAGCCTAACACATTATTTTCTCAGAGGCAGAATCACTAAAGAACATTCCAACTGTAACTTTTAGTCAAATTACTGGCAGAGATCTAAAAGTGTCAATTACTTTGATATAGCAACATAATAAAAGTGGATCTGACCTTAATATAAAAATAACTTAAAGTCTCCAAAAAGTATGCACGTCTTCAAAAATTCTGCAAAAATGTTTTCCATCTAGGATCTCATCCTACATCCACAGTAGGGGCTCACAGTGCTTGTTATATTAATTGAGAACCTTAAAGAACTGTATTCCTACACCCTACCGTAAATAAGTAAAATGGATTGAGAAGCCTGGCTAGTAGATACAGGGAAGGTTCAGGGGACCTGAAGTTTGCCACTCTTCTTAGAGATCATAAAAGGAAGGCAGGGTACCAGAATGCAGGACTTGTTAATTTGCATCTGACCCTCATTGCTCAGTTAGACCTTCACCTCTGCTCTAGGGCATGGTCCACAAGTGGCTGCTGGCACAAAGCAGGACAGGCTATATATACAGAATATGGTGATGGCCTCAGATATGTCTCACTCAGCAGGCCTTTTCCTCATTCATTATTATCAGGATCTTCCATGTGATTATCAGGATCTTCCTTTCAACATCCACCTGCTTGTCATAGGTCCTCCATCCTGCATGTGGTAGATCACCCTTCCCCCTTAGAATACAGAGCTTCCAGGTGCTCAGAAGCCATTGTTAATCAATGTGCATGGCTGACAAGGGCAATGTATAGGATCACAACATTTCTCTCAGCAGAAGTGATAAAGGGGAGGCCATACAGACTGGAAACTGAAGCCGATCCAGACTCAGTAGCAACATCAGATCCATAGGAAAGAATCAATTTGTTTTTCCTGTGATGATTCACATTCAAATGTATATAGCAAATGGAATTAGAGGCAAAAGTAAATAGGTCATAAACTGCTGTATGCAGACAGAACAGTATTCAATGCTTAAAAGAAATGAGCTATCAAGGCATAAAAAGACATGAAAATGTAAATGCAGATTGCAAGTAAAAGAAGACAATCTGAGAAGTCTGCACACTGATTGATTCCAACTATGTGACATTCTGGAAGACAAAACTATGAAGACAGTATAAAGATCAGTGGTTGCCAGGACTTAGTGAGGAGAAGGATTCAGCAATCAGAACACAGGAGTTCTAGGACAGTGAAAATACCCCACATACTGTTATGATAATAAAGATATACATTAGATGTACTTCAAAACCTACAGAACATAACAACCCAGGTAAAACCCTGACATGAACTATCCACTTCCTATGGAGATGTCTTGGCAGAGATGGACTATACCAGATCCAACACTGTGGCAGAGAGGATGCTCATAGTGAAAGGTGTGTGTGAATGGGAACATGTGAGTAGGTGTGGACTCTTGGGTTTTGTTGTGAACCTAAAATCACTCTGGAAAAGAAAGTTCATTATCTTTATTAATAAATATCACAAAAGTATCATGGTTTAACCTGAAAATAACGTTCAGATGTCATCCATACAAACATAATTTTTTCACAATAGAGTTTACACATTTTCCCTTTCTATTCATAAATTTAAATTAAAATTGGTAATAAAATTATATTTTAAATTTTCTGGGAAATACTTTGTAGTTTTTAATGATAAAATTCAACATGTGGCCACATTAGTTGGTAGCATAATAAATGTTGCTTTATAATGTGGAAGAATTGAGCAGTTGTAAAGGTTACTGAAGGGTACAGGGAAATGTAGCAAAGTTAGTGAGCTTTGCCCCTCTGACCACGCTAAGGAACATGACCAATCCTCTCATGAAAGAAGTGCATCTCTAGAATGCATGTGCTTCAGATAGAACTGTTATCTTTCTCTTCCTGAACACGGCCCTCAGTTAACCAGAGTGTCATTGGCAGCTGTCACTTCCAGGTAAGATGGCACACCAGAAGTCCCCTGGATGACTTAACAAGAATGGAAATCAGCCTAAGAACAAACAGACTCCATCTCAAGGACAGAAAGAGGAAGACCGTCAGAAAGTCACAAAGACAGAATGACAAGAGCTGAAAACTGCAAGACAAAGACAGGCAACACCACAAAAAAAGGTCAACCCAACACAGCTCCATGTGGGAGACTCCCTGGCTGGGGGTCAGAGGGACAACTTAGACAACCGTCTGGCACCTTTTCTCAACGACCAAGGTCACTATCAGATGAGATATGTGTATTTCTTACTATGGCCCATAGATGGGCCATTCTTTGGTAAGTTGTTTTAGGCCACCAAAGATTCTGACTTAGGTAGCTTGAGGAGTGCTTAGTGGATGCTTGAACTTTTATGATGTTAAGAATGATAAGCAATAAATCCCCTGGTTGGAAAAAAATCCAACCTGTGTCCTTTATTATGAAATTGACAGTATCAAGAATTATATCCAGGGCTGAGGAATCTAGCTCAACAGTAGAACATGCCATTTGTAAGGACTGGGGGTTGATTCCTAGACCTCAAAATCAAGTTGTGTTCAGATCAGTTTCAAAATCAACACTAGAAAACAGTTGTTAACCCATCTTCCATGTTTAAAAAAAAAAAAAAAAAAGAACCAATATTGATCGGACATATTTTACAAGGATGCCCCAAAATGTTCTGTTTTGGGGGGGGGCTGCGGGGTGGGACTCATTGTCCATTGTGCTTGGCTTCATAAATACAGTTTCTACCACATGTTCTTTGACCGTATCTGCCTCGTCCCCTCACCTCATCACTCTCTTTCCCCACTCACACTGCTGTTCCTGTTTCTTCCATCTCCCTTCTCCTGAGTCACATATAAAAATGGTTTTGTCTGCACATATAAAGTCTAGGCTCCAAAGTGGGAGAAAATACGCAACCTTTCTCTCTCTACATCTGTCCTACCTTGCTTAATATGATCTCAGATAACTAACATTTATTTAAAAAAATTAAAAACGTCAGTAGGGTTCTTCGTCCACATCCTCACCCACGTATCCCGTGGCTACAGTCTCCAGTCCACACATTCAAACAGGAAGGAGTAGCCATTTCTGATAGGCAGAGCCCCGGTAAGAACTGTCAAGTTTGCCTGTACAGACCTACCACCCTACTGCCTTATAAAGGGAATTCAGTATTCAGTCACAAAAGTTCAAATCCCCGTCTCACCGCCATCTCCTGCTGTAACTCAGTTCTTTGTAGGACTGGAACACTGCATTCCTCCCTCTGTAGATATAAAACACCCATTTATTTGGAAGAGAAGCATAAGCTGCCAAAGATATTTATTCCTTAACTAGACACAGAGTAATAACTTCCAAATCCTCTCCCCTTTACAGGAGGGAAGAAACCATGGTAGAAATATATTAAGTCCCAAATTACAAGATAATAAAAGTAAATTTTTGCTTGCCTGCAGCCCTTGTCAGAATCGAGCATGAAAGGAGAAGCTATTTAGAAGCAAAAATATTGTCGAGCTCTTTTATTCAGCAGCGCATCTTCTAGCCCCCGCCCAGATTCCAGAACATTCTAAGCATCAGTGACTTTAGTGAATATGTTTTGAATACATCCAAAAATTATTTTTAAAGTCAAATGGATAATCTAAGGGAAAAATCAAGTCAACAAAAATTATACATACATCAGGTGACACCTTGGGGAAATCTGCCTTCTTGTGAACCTCGAAGTCGATCGGTAATATTGCCACATGGCAGTAAGAAGGTAAAGCTCCCCTGAGACACTTGAGGCGGCGTTAGTGAGCACTCGAGAGCCGTTCACAGAGCTCAGCAGTGATTCTAAGAACATCCATCGACCTCCATGGCTGCCGCCCGTATGTGCACTGTAAAATCTCAAGCTGCGCACAGGTTCCATGTGGGCTGTAAATATAGGTGATTATCACCTCCGTGTCTAGGATACGGCAATCTGGCCCAAGGGGGATGAAAGCAGTCGACAGTCCATGCACCATAGGAGAGAGCCAGCCAAAGCCTGCAGGCACCCCAGTGTTACCCAAACAAGACCCAAGTAGCAACTCCCCAGAGAAGAGAATTAAGAAGCTGAGAAAAATCCATACGGGGAAACTACAAGGGGAAGAATACAGGCCAGGAGCATAGAGATTACATACCAGATACCAAATTTAGAAGAAACCTTCTAAAGACACACTTCCTGGGTACCCTCCCATCCTTTGGGAATGAATGCTCCCAGCACAACTTCCTGTTTTAAAAGCCATGCTTCTGGAAGCTTCTCGGCAATTAATTCACTCTTTCGGGCAATCAAGGCCCCCAACTCAGGGACTGACAGCAGTTTTTTCCTGCTTCGTTCAGCCAAATGTGTCCCACTTCCTTCCCATAACCCACGATTAGAAAATCTACCTTGGACTACAAATAATTAAGAAATCACTTAACGATTGTATATTGGTAAGCACTGTGGCTTTAATGTTAGCCAATGACTTCAGAAAGATTTTTAAGCTCTGTACCATCCCAGATAATCCAGTGCTAGACATGGGGAAATCCAACCAATACATTTAAGCTAATGTGAAACAACCTCCGTATATTTTTGCTAATGTCAAAGTCTCATCATTGTTTGTGGGTGCTCTGACTTTATCCATGTGGAAGATCAGAAAAATTTACATTGTCCTCTCCAGTAGGGTTTTACCTTCTGGGTCATTGTCACTTCCTAGTCTTCCCATCTCCCATCCCAACTAGTTATCCCCCTTGGAAAACACTAAGCTAAATGACCCGTGTCCAATGTCTCTGTGTTGCTGTCCCTGAATTGGCAAGCCTGGAATTCAACATAGCATGTTGACACCTTGGCAGTGGGTAAAAGTACAGCCTCACAGCTTCCCATCCCAGAGTCACTCTGGACCTGCGGATAGAGCTCTGTTGGTAGAGTGTTTCCTAGCATCCACAAAGCCCTAACCCCAGCACCGCAGAAACCAGGCATGGTAACATACACCTATAATCCCAGCACTCAGGAGATGGAAGGTGGAGGATCAGAAGTTCAAGGTCACCCTCAGCTACTTAGTGAGTTCAAACTCATCGAGATCCCATCTTCAAAACCACCACTACTACCACCATGCAGAAGATGATTGGCCCACGGCATCCAGTAACATCTGAGGTAACTTGTCTCTGATTTCTATTGGTTAAAGGTCAACAAAGTTTCTTCTAAACTTTTAGGACATCTTCATCACTTTTAATCACTTGAAAACAACTGGACATACACCCCATTGTATCAACCAGAACCCTTAAACTGAAAAGAAGTTCTGCTCGATGATGGAATTCCTTTCACTGTGATCTAATGGAAACAATGCCAAGGAACCGGTTCTGAATGGAACCTTCAGTTGGACAATGAATCTTAAGTTCTCACTGCTGAAAATTCCTCATCTATAAAGATATAAATAGATAATGTAGGCTTTAAAGATACATCGATTTTTAAAGACTGTAACTGTAGTATTACACTGCTTATTTCTGTAGATCAAGTGAAAATATATAGCAATATGCCACCAAGTTTTTTGATGGGGACAGTAAGTGGCCTATCTGCCTATGAGCAGCAGAGTGGGTTGAGGAAAGGCCTGTGAGCAGCTGATCAAGATGTAAACATAAATTATTCAGTTCTTGCATTACCTCCAAACTAAGAGAATGAAAGACAGAGATTTGGTTATACCTCAGTTGATATCTACTATGATGTAACTTACTCATCTATCATGCTCATCTCCTGGCAAAATCTACTTGTGCAACTCTCAGCCAGCTTCATGAAGGTGTGTTTTTCACATTCCTGAGAAAGATGTTTTGAGTTACCGCCTAGTGTTATAATTGCATTCCTGGAAAAAGTAGTCAACCTCGAAGACATCTTTCTCAAGCATGATTATCAGGAGGAAATACTGAATATTAGCTTCGTGCCAGCTTCTATTCTGGTCACATTACATCTGTGACTTCACTGATATCTCTTAAAGGAAACTTAAGCAATAATTCTGCTTTCCATTTGAGAACACTGGGGTGTGGGTAGGCTAGGTCATTTTCCTAAGGTCACACAGCAGAGTTCCACCTGAACCCAAGCTATGACCACATGGCCTGTACCTACTTCACTGCCTGGGGTCTGTTTTGTTCCACACCTTTAAGTATTGTCCAGAACCCCACTGATTGTTGAGTGTTGGTTGATCTCAAATGCCTTTCTCAGTCTATTCTTGTTGCATATACACCAATTATGCCAAACATGTCCACATACTAATTTCTTCATCTCTTCCACCAGGTTATTTTATAGCTGTATCTAAACAAATTATTAGTTTTTCAGACAATAAAAGGTCTTTTGTCATTTCAAGATCTATCATCTGCTTCTCACTAGGAATTTAGAAAGGAATTGTCTTTACACATAGTTCCATGCGAAGTTAAGGGGGAAGTATCACTTGTGTTTTCTTGTCTAATCACTTCTCAACAAAGAATATGCCCTCATGCCAGGCAAGGTAGTTCATGGCTGCTGTAATCTCAACACTTTGGAGCCTGAGGCAGGAGGATCACAAGTTTAAGGCAAGTCTGGGCTATACAGTATGTTCCAGTGGGCTACAGTAAGATCCTGTCCCCAAATTGTTTCCACTTGGTTTTATGTCACTTACAAGTGACTCTTTCCATACCTTCTAAGTCCTCTGCATGGAAAGCACAGCCAGGTTTGGGTGGATACACAGCTCAATGTCCACAGGGAAAGATCAATAGATCAATGAACTTGATATGAGATTTAAATAATGCTTTACTTGGAAGGAAGGATTTGGATCCTCAGAAAACACCTTCTAGTACAGCCACAACATAAATCACAATACCAAGAGGCAGTAGTCATTTGTATAATGCTGTGAATGTACATGTTGAAAAGGGAGAAGGGGTGCTTCACTGGAGCACCTAGCACTGTGGAGAATGTCAACATTTGCATCAATGCTGGAAGTGTCATCAAAGCACGCCATAGCCAATGGCACCTAAGTTGAACAACCACAGAAGCAATGTCATGCCTCTTTGCAAACACAGTGTGGCTCATTTCTGGGGACTCATGGTGGTGAACACTACATTCATGGGCATTACAAATTCTTCGTATGGCAGGGAAAGCAGGACTCCCTCTGCCCAATAGTCATTTGATCAGCAAAAACAGGGTCCAAAACGCCAGTGCATCTCTCACAGGGAGCCAGTGAGGGAGAAGGAACCCAGAGCAGGTGTTTGTCTACTCTGGTGAATAGTCTATTAAAAAAAAAAAAAAGGAAAGGAAAAGTAGTCAGAGGGGATCCGAGACGACAACAGCTACCACGATGATTGGTGAAACCAGCTCTTCTCACGTCAGTGGGAGCCTGTGCCCTGAAAGAAGGCGCATGATAAAACACATTTCCATAAACTCTGTGCATCTCGTACTCTCAAAGTTCACTCTTCAGGAAAGAACTAGCAAGCAACAAAACCCAGCATTTCTTCCACATCAAGCTCTGCACAAGATATTAATCATTAGCTAGCTAAAACAGGCAGAAGCAGCTTTCTCACCACAGAGCCAACTAATTATCTTTCATAAGTCTTTTGAGAGGCAAATGTAGCTGTAAACACTCAAGTGAAAAACATGTTAAATGCATTTGGGTCTAGACTTTGCCAAGAAAATAAGAGAGTCTAAGTGCACAAAATCCAAAGATCTTCCTAAAGCAGAATTTCAAATTGAGGTTTAAAAAAAAATGTTCAGCTTCACATTTCAATGCATCTTGTCTTTAGAATTTGATGTCTGTACCATCCACGGAGGGTGAACGCTGCTGTATAATCAAGATGCACATGTGTTATATGACGAGTGCTACTAACAAAGAAAATTGTTTAAAAAGTGGGGGAAACGCTTTTCAGGCATCTTTCCTCTTGAAAGGATGCACACTGTTGTAAAGCTCACTACACCAGCAGAAAACCCTAAAACTGGGCAAGTCAAGGAGCAAAACAGAAAGCATAGGTGATTACTGGGGACCACAAAGCCCTGGAGGCAGGCAAACATGAGTGAGGAAAATCCAGGGCTGTCTGTACAATATATACAGATTTTTTTTCAAATGTAAATTTGAAAATGAATGCTGCTATTATGCCAGTGGCATAAAGGGAAGCATAACGAGGCTGCTCTACTTCCCTTTAAACACAAGGCATACAGAGAGGGAGGGATGTGAAAAGCCAATTCTTCGCCGCTCTTCATCAATTGCACTCAGTTCTACCCTGCAACACAGTCACGCTGCAAAGACCACTCGGCAGTTAATGGACACAATGCTGAGAAAGCACTCTCAGGTCTTCCCAAGAAAGATAGGGGAAAACCCAAAGGACCAGAAAAGAAACGGAGATACTAATTTATTCTGCAAATTCTTGTCCTTCCATATAAAGTTATTTCTTCCAAATATCTGATCCCTGTGATCACAGTAGCGTTATCCCATGCCCTTGCCTGGTCTTGTCAGAATAACCATTACAAATTGCAAGGAATAAATATGTTCTCCCAGCATTGCAGCCTACGCTTACAATCTGTCAAAATGTAGAGCCGAGGGGGAGGCTACATGGCTTTGACTGTATACACCCATCTCTAGCTATCACTCTTCCCACAGACAGGATAGAAGTCAACAAGAAAACATAAAAGGCTAAAAATAAATGACTGGGCAATTGCTCAGAGAACCTGTAACATTGGGCACAGGGTTAAGTGTGCATGCCATCCGCCTCTCGCTTCCAGGTGAAAGTTATTGAAATTAAGAGCTCAGATCTAGGAATCGAGAAAATAAAAATGCACTGCAAACATATGTAAAAGCTGCTCATAAGTAAAACCCTATGCCCAGAACCATGCATGGTCAGCATTTAAACAGCACGTGCTCAGAAGACAAGGAGTCACTAATACATATTGTTCCATGTGAGAAGTAGCACTGCTGGGGATTTTAAATGCTCAAAGAATTCAGTGTCATTCCATACAAAATGACATTATGTCTTCACTCACAGGAGTTCACATGTTCATTCTCACAAGTCAATCAAATCAGTATTTATTAAGATCCACTGTGTGCATTTTACTATGCTCTGCTGGCAAGGTACATAGCATAAAGATGAACATGGCTGACATGCAGGAGTACATACAAAAAAACATAAATGTGAGTTAATGTAATTTGGCTATAGAAAAGGTATAATCCAAATGAATGCCAGATTTGGAAACATAAGAAAGCCAAGACTTTATTATCTCCTTGGTTTTCCTCTTGTGTAGGTACTGATTTGGTGTTTTGTTTTGTTTTGTTTTGTTTTGTTTTAAGGCACAAAAAACTTGATTTTTGAAATTTTACATATTCAAAAGGAGATGGGTTAGATAACAGTCACTTTTTAACTCTTACAACTTTAAGATGATTTGTGTAACTCAATTCTTTTAGAAATCGTGATATCTAATTGAGAAAAAAGAGGCATTTCATGAATACAAATTTATTTTACACCACAAATTTATAACAATTATCTTTTAAATAAACAGACTTTTCTTTTTTTATAAAAAGAGTAGGTGTGGCAGAGGATTGTGGATTGGTTACATCTTCCTGTAACCCTAGGCATCTGATTCATTTCTCTCTTTTGGAATTTTGAACATTGAGAAGAGTGATTCATACACCCCGGTGATGGAAAACAGCAACATTACAGCTCCCTTAAAATCTCAGTCTATTCTCCAAGCAAAAAGAGAAAGCAGGAGAAGCTGCATCCCACAGTGTGAACCAAAACACGATCATCCATTAGCACAAATTATGACATCACCAGCGGTCTCAACTAGAGTACCATTTCCCAAACTGTGCACTTGGCTGTGACAACATTTAAACAAAAACCAAACCTTTGATAATGATCTAAACCACAAAATGCCCTAAGATCAGTAAAATTCTCAATTTTGAACCCCCCACCCCCACCACAGACATCCACACAATGCTCTGACTTGGTGTCTGATAATCAAGGCTGATAGAGCACACAGACGCCTCTGGGTAAACCTAGGATTCCAGCAATGTATGCCACCTGCATATCTGCTGGCCTTTGCTTTCCCTCATCTCCTCCCAGTGCTCCTGCTCCTCTTCCCCACTGCTGTTCTGACCCAGCGCGATCCAGCCAATCATCTCCTTACGCTTCATAGTGCGTCTACTGTAAATGGAAATCATCAAGGTGACATCAGAGAGCTGGAAGAGGGCCACCTGGAAGACAAAGGTCTCTTTATAGACAGGATTGGGTTGGCCACGCCGAATGGATGTCTTGCATCGGGACATCTCTTGGCCCACGCAGTTGAGGAGGAAGAGTTTCCCGTATGTATCTGCAGCAAAAACAAACAAGAGAAGGAGGAGAAAACATCAGTGCTTTGCACTGCACTGGCTTAGCTGTAATCTTCACATGGACTTCAAATTTCTCCTTGCAATGGTATCTTCAGGTCCGGACCGCCACATCTTGCATAGATTATTAAGGAAGAAGAAGATTGCCTTATATGTCTATTGCTTCATACAAGCCCAGTCTGGCACATTCTGAGGCACATTAGAACCTCTGTATGGAGCAGATATGAAGGTGCACAGGCGTATGTACAATGGGGGTTGTGGCCATCCAGAGAGAGCTTGATTTATGTGCCAAGATGAACATGCATTCTTTTTCTCCGTGTGTGGGATTTTTCTTTCCGAGTCAATGTATTGTTTTCTGTCTCCGCATAGTCTACAACATTCTCTGAACCATCTCATGATGGAACTCCAGCCCACAAGCTTCATCTCCCACTCTCCTGCACACTCTCCCAATTCCCTGACACCCCAGTGGCCATCCACCTTCCTTCCCTACCTTTTACCAACAATGTTTAATTGGCACAACACTGTCTCCAGAATCCCTATGACTCTGCCACAGTACTCAGGGTCCTTGCCCATTGCCTGCAAACTGCCAGTCCCTCAAAGGTAAAGAGAGGGTTTGCCTTATTCAGCCTGGCTTAGTTCCTAACTGGAGCTAGACTTCTAACAAATAATTTTATAATGAATATTCATTCATGACTAGACAGAGAGCTAAACCTTTTTCTCTTTCAATCTCATGTTTTCAGACAATGAAATCAAGCAAAAACCTCCCACTTTAAGACCCCTACACTAGAATACTATGAAGTCGTGACTGATGTCCTCTTTTTAGCTACAGAAAGGAAAGGAAAGCATCCAAATTTTACTAACATCATCTACTTTGGCTAAAATTCCTGAATGAATCATTACAAAGAAAATTATCCTCAAAAATGCATGTTATCAAAATCACTTCATTGATCATTTTTGGCCCCCTTTTTTCCCTTAACTACAACTTTTGCTTCTAACTTAGATACATGCTACTATTCAAAATAAAAAAAAAAGTCAAAATGTTAGGGTGTTGCCTCAGTTCCACCACTCCGTACTTTCTGTTCAGTGTAGGCAGAAAGCTTAGTGTTTGCAGCTCGCTTTCCCAGCTAACCACCAGTCTAACTTTTTAAAAAACGTAAACCCGGATCTCTGTAATTTCCTCTCTGAGCATTGTAAGGTAGGAAGCAAATTACAACCTACGGTTTTCTTTGTATGTTGATCTTTTTTCTATTCCGGTTTGATGTGTTATTTTATGCACTTATCTGCTGAGAAACACAAGGTGTGAGATTACACTTCAGGTGTGAAAACACTTCTCTGTCTCAGAAACAGGGCTCTCCACTCCTCAAACTGTTCCACGGAAAAGCTGTCAACAAACCGACAATGGGAACAAGCCTGCACTTCTGCAGCTGAACAGCAACAGGACACTGTCGGAAAGCTCACTCCAGGCGTGTTGATCTGCTCAGGCAATTCTGCCGGCTGGGGCAGGGGGATGGCATTCATCTTTCAAACAAAGACTTGCTCATTTTGCAGAGAACATCCTGAGCTTCTGCTTGTCCCAAGATAGATCTCTAATTACAAGAAAGGCCCACTTACCACTAACCTCACCACTGACGCTGGGGCATAGGTGCACGACATGGAGAGATGGACATTTTATAAGCAATACAATGTAATGGCACCTGACTAAAGGAAAGGACACTGTACAGTTCGAAGAGGGAAGTTTAAATCAACGTGCCCTTCAGGAAGTCCTGCCTGGGTGAACCTGGCAGAGGCATAGCTAGAGTCTTCTGGAGCTCCACAACTGACTCCAGTGAGCACCAGTCCAACAGGTAACCAAATGCCCAACTTAAACGAGCCCCATTTTATTTCTTTGGAAATTGATCACAGAAGCTACAAACCAACATTGAACAAAACTTCATCTTAGAAGATTCAGAAATCTTTATAGTATCTTTATAGCGACCTTCAGTAGCTCAGACCCATCATCACAGGCTCAATGGGTCAGAGTCCTTTGAAAGAGCAGTGATTTGTATCAGGTCATTTGTCCCATGGCATAAAGGAAAATGCCACTTGTACCCTAATATTTTGAATGTTTAAAGAGAAGCACGCATATAAGTTAGAAACAGAATTGTGGCTAAAAGTCTGAAAATGATCAATGAAGTGACTCTGATAACATATTTATATTTTATTCATAGTAGCTAATAACCCCAATTTATCAAGGCACAAAAGTATGTCATTTGTACCACAGAAGGCATTTACACTAAAGAAATAAACAGTCATAGAAAAGAGCCCACTCAAAAACACCTGCCCATTTACAACCCAATACTTTACCAACTACTGCAGAGTGATCCTCCAGGGATGATCTACCATCAACTGCAGAGTGAGCCTCCAGGGATGGTGTACCATATACTGCAGAGTGAATCTTCAAGGAATGGCTTACCAACTACTACAGAGTGAACCTCCAGGGACTTTATACCAACTACAGCAACGTGTGTCTTCAAGGGATGTTCTACCAACTCCTGCAGAGTAAGCCTCCAGGGATGCTATTCCAAACACTGCAGAGTGAACCTTCAAGGGATGGTCTACCAACTACTACAGAGTGAGCCTCCTCCAGGGGTACTGTACCTTCAGGGATGCTGTACCAAATATACAGAGTAAAACTTCAGGGGATGTTCTACCAACTACTACAGAGTGAGCCTCCAGAGCAGAGGTCTGTATGACTCAAGTATCTGGGAAACAGGGCAAGTGAAAGGTAATTGGCCATTTAATTCTCTGTTCCTTTTTAGTATATTAGTATTTACAGAGCATTTTAAATACATGTAAGAATAGAGAAACTATTATCACATGTTCCCATTTGGGATGGTTAACATTTTTCACACTTGCTACTGATATTTTCTGAGTTTTGTTTGTCTTTTAAGAAATAAGAAGTTGGGTATAATGCTCACATCTGTAATTCCAGGACTTGAGAGGCCCAGGCAGAAGGGTTATTATGAGTTTGAACCCAGCCTGGGCTTACATGGTGGGTTCTAAGCTACATAGTAAAACTCTCTCAAAAGTAGCCATATTGATGATTCTTGAGCAGCCCTCTTTGGAATGTTCAACGTCTAAAGTTGTAGTTCATCACTTCCAATGTATGTTTTTAGACCTTCACCACATGGAAACAAAAGAAATCCAAAACATACTTAATAGCATTTTTGTACATTAACATATTTAACACTCTAGTGTATATCTTCCTGAAACATTTTCATTTTTTTGATAGCCATATAGCAGTTTAATAATGAAAATATATTAATATTTTACTATACAACAGAAATACATTGTCAATGAAAAAAACATCTTTCAGTGAAAACCTGCAAAAGGCTATGATTATAAACAATTTCAGTAGAGGACACCAGCTTTGTAGAGTGCTATCCTAGGCTTGCAGTTCCACACATGACACTTCGAATATGTGTTATAATAGAACACATTATTTTTTATCCACTTTGAGGACACAAATTATCATATAACATAGCCAGCACCCAGCTAAATATATATCTTCACTCAACATTAAAATTTTAAGTGTTATCTCTATATGTATGAGACAGATGAGTTTATTTCCATATGGACTGTCCCAGTGTATCAATGAATCCCAACTTGCTCATCCATTTTCTTAACGAAAGGATGTTTGTAACAACCAAGAAACATAAAGCCCTCCCCATTCCATGTGCATTGTATCGATAGTTAACAGTCTCTCCCAGAGATGTCAGTGGATGTCTGTGTTCCCTGGAATTCTAGATGGCAAAACCTTTGCCACTTGTGTCTACTGACAGTATTTTCTCCCTGTCATGAGCTTCCCTTCCTGTTGTGTTTGCAGCAACTTCGGTAGCATTTTTAAATTTATTGTGAAGTTTATAAATGTCTTATTTTCAGGGAATGCTTTATTATTTATTTATTTTTACAACTAGAACACCCTACTCCAACTCCACAGTCTCTTGTATTTTCTTCTATAAATTCTAATTTTTCTCCTTTGATCGTTAATCTGGCTAAAGTTAATATTTTAGTGTGAGATAAGGAGCTATCTATTTTTTTTAAATGAGAAGCAGTATTCAGTAAATTATTCAGCAAAAAAAAAAAATCATGATGTCCAGCAGGTCTCCAGGGTTCAGGTTTGATGATATTTATTATAATTGGCTCAAAATATGTCTTGCTGTTTTAGATAACCCCTGTGTTGTGTTTAAGATGTATCTTTAAACTTTATATAAGCTAATCCTTATGTCATCTTTAAACTGTGATTTTTAGTTACTTTAAGCTTCAGCTTGTTTTAATTGGCTCTTGGTCATGAATTTTAGAGTCATCCTGTCAAGTTCAAAAACCATTGTCAGCGGTTATTGAGATGGTCTGACAATTCTCCCAAACCCACTTGGTAGGAGAGAACAAATTCAAGTTGTCATGTCCCTCCCACTGCGCTTTCGCTTTCTCTCTCTCTCTCTCTCTCTCTCTCTCTCTCTCTCTCTCTCTCTCTCTCTCACACACACACACACACACACACACACACACACACATAAAATATTTAAAAAATTTTAAAACTGTTGGAATTTGAACTAGAATTGTACTAGAGATATAGACTAATATAGGAAAAGCTGTTGTTACAATGTATGGAATATCTTCATCAATGAACATGGTATATCTATCAACTTACCAATTTAATTCCCTTCTGTTATTTCTCCCAAAATGTTTTATTATTCCTTTTATAATTTTCCAACTTGACCTCAGTTTAAAGTTATTCTTTGGAATCTTAGATGATGTATTGCCATTATAATACTAATATTCTTAAACTATTTTTTAACTTTTGCTGATGTATTTGAATACAAGTAATTTGGTACAAGTACTACTTCAAATTTGTACAAATTGGTAGATATTCTTGTGTTTTAATTCAGGCAATTGAATTTTCTACATATATAATGTCAGCTTCACTTCTTCCTTTCATGTTTTA